AGCAAAGGGCATCGCTACTAGTAACCAAGACGCTACTAGTAGCTCCCTGCCTTACTACGAGGAACAAGAAGCTACTAGGAGCAAAGGGCGGTGCACAAAAAATAAGCACCAAAAGCTGCACGAATTTGCCTGGCTTCTTCGGTTTTCGCTCCTTACTGCCCAACCCCTATCCCAATCCGTCGTTTTCCTCACTCCATCATCCCAAAAACCAGCCACCCATCCCAACAACGAAACTCAAAGGTCCATGACCTTTAAACTGTATTTAACTATGCTTTCACACCACTCAACAAGTCCTGGCGTGTCCCACAAAAATCAATCACACTCCTCTTTATCAACTTTGGAACGGCCCGTGACCCCTTACACAAATGATGATATCTCATTCCCCAAGTTGCAGATCTCCCACATCTCCTGAGCCTTGTCTGCTTCATCGGGCTGGATGAAGGTGTAGGCAAAGCCAGCCCTCAAACGAAATCATGCGGTATGGATGGTGCACGACCCTCTATGTCCTAAACTAACATTGACCGTTTACCTCTTTCACCATTCAATATTCAATACCGTGCAAGACCGAAGGGCATCGCTACTAGGAGCAAGGACGCTATTAGGAGCTCCTGGCATCGCTACTACATTCACTTCTTCTTCTTCTTCTTCGACCAACGCTTTAAAAAAGGACGCCAGCACCTTGCAAAAATGCCAGACACATAGCCCACACGACGTGGTGCATACCGGACCAGCCCTGAGCACCCAAACTTTCCAGCGCGTCCAGTGCGGCCCACCCGGTGGATGTAGTCCTCCAAGTGGTCTGGAACCTGTGATGGTTTGGACGGAAAAAAGCAACCAGCGTTGAAAACGCAATCGCTGGTAGGTTGGAGGCCATCGCTATTAGGTTGAAGGCCATTGCTATAGGGGTGGAGGCCATAGCTATTAGGGTGGAGGCCATTGCTATAAGGGTGGAGGCGATCGCTATTAGGTTGGAGGCCATCGCTATTAGGTTGAAGGCCATTGCTATTGGGTTGGATGCCATCACTATTAGGTTGGAGGATATCGCAAGTAGGTTGGAGGCCATCGCTATTAGGTTGGAGGCTATCGCTAGTAGGTTGGAGGCCATTGTTCTAAGGGTGGAGGCCATCGCTATTAGGCTGGAGGCCATTGTCAAAAGGGTGGAGGCCATGGCTACTAGGTTGGAGGCCATTGCTATAAGGG